CTTAAAAATTCAAGGTACTTTTATATAATTAAGAGTCAGTTTCTCTATTTAACCGAACAGGCGAACAGCAAACAAAGATTTAATTAGTCAGTTCTGTGCACGGCTTGACTGCCAAGCTTTCTCAAAGTCTCAACTTGCTGGACGCGGATATACTCTAACGACTAACGGGCTAATAACAGCAACAATTAAATTCTCAATCATACCACGAAGAAGGCGATGTAGCTCAGAAAACAACGCCGGTAGGACCTGATATTAAAAATAAGACTTTTGCCGGCGAAGCAAGTTGGCAGAACATCTTGGCTGTCAACAACAAGCTTTCGAATACAGGACTAGTTTGGCTGTTCTTTCAGCGTCGTGTGTGTCCAAAATTCGTCAAAGATTTTGATGAAGCCCTTTCAAAATACTGTTTGTTTGATTTATTTTTCTTCCATAAAGCATAAAAGAAAAGAAATTCGAAGAAATCGATAATGGAATTTGTTACGTGCGTTTGACCTTTATATTAATTCTCGCCTTGACCGAGCTATTTTTAAAACTGTTGTTTATGTGAACTTGCAACCAATCAAAATCCTTCATGATGCTGATCAACCAATCAGATTTCCCGTCCACCAGGTGGACGGGAATCCCACACTTTAGATAGGTTTTGTGTCAGGCCCTATTCTGTGATAGGGCCTGAACTTCAGGTTACATATTCACCGGTGAATATGACTGAAATTTCCTGCTGCACCAAATACGAATGACGTAAGCGCGATACGATGATAAATTTCATGCTCACGTGGTACAAATGTAGCTTCCTGATTGGACAATTTAAATTTGAGGTATAATATTGAATATTATATCACAGCCAGATAGCAATATTACTCCACTACGCTTTGAGAAACTAAGCCAGCGTGTTAAATTTAGTCAACTTAACGTTATAATTAATTGTTATAATTAGTCGTTCACATTCTTGAGAAGCTTTAGACTATTGTGATTGTATTCACAACAATAGACAAGACAATGTCTTTCTTATCGTTTGCGTTTGCTGATATATTTGCTGAATATTAATGATATGTATATATTATTTGCTACGAATACAGTCAAAAATTGCTTTTATCTTGCTTCTAAAGTCAAAAATGAAAAATCGAACACCGTCAATCGATGCGGAATATTGCTTAGGATAATTGTGTCAAATTTCATTCCGATCCGACAAGTAATGACGGAGCCTTAGGGTTTTTTCAAAGAGCGTCGCCCCCTAACAACAACAACAACAACAACAACAACAGCAACAGCAACAGCAACAGCAACAGCAACAGCAACAGCAACAGCAACAGCAACAGCAACAGCAACAGCAACAGCAACAGCAACAGCAACAGCAACAACAACAACAACAACAACAACAACAACAACAACAACAACAAGATTAGCAGCGATTGGGGACCAGTTCCTGGTCCAATAAATGATTATAAATCCCGGTTGAATTGTAATCAAGACCCAACGTTTCGACGCTCCAGTCTTGTGTCTTCATCAAGGGTGATCTAAAGATGAAATCGTGGCTTCTTAAATACCCAAGGGGTGACGTCACCTGCCAATGAGATGCATGTATTCCTCTGGCAAATAGGCACCGTCATCCCTATTCAAAGCATGATTACTCATATTTATATGCCACGCTTATAGGCAAAGTCATTGACCATAGCGATTGTTTGTGGTAATTACTTTGGAGTTTTCCCACGCAATCTCGTGTTTGGTGTAACATACATGTTCTCCTAAAGCTGATTTTCCCTTGTCTAACTTTGAAACAGCCTTTTGATGTTCTTTTAGCCGTGTACCAAACTGGCGTTTAGACTGACCCAAATACTCTATCTCGCTATACCTCATGGTATAGAACATACAGCATGAGTTTTCTGATTGTTTAAACAAGATCTTTTGGCTTTGCGAAAATATGGCCTAAAGTCAAATAGAGTTTTAATAAGGCAACCTTAATATTACAATTACTAAATATTCTCTTGATTGGTTCTGTGACACCTTGAATGTATGGAACTATTACATAACTCTTAACAGAGGTATCACCCTTGGAGTTATTTTGGTTTCTACGGGGAATCGCAAAGAAAGCATTGTCTCCAAATGTGCTAGATTCAGAAAGATCGAGTGACTACAAGAGTAAGAGGAGTGTGCATCTATCTAAATAATACAATTCAGTCCCTGTAAGACGCTTAGCTAGAGCAATGTAACGAAGGAGTTGAATCTCTATTGGTTTCAATGAGACCCTATTGTTTACCAAGGAATAATTGTCGATGACGCAGCTGCGCTAGAGACTTTTAAAGTTTATTTACTTGTTAGATAGGCTCAACGATTGGTCTAAACAGCCCAGACGTGCAGCTGAAATACTTTTATTAGTGAATTAAGAAAGCTCTAAAGAATCCCTTAGAAATACTTTTCTTTGGGGCTCTCCACTAGATTTTACAATCTTGAGTTAAAAATTTAGTTTTCACTATTTTTGGCAAAATTCCAATTTTTCACTAATTGTTTTCAAGGATAAATAAACTTTCTAAAGGTGTCTTTGAGTGGTAAAAGGCGTGCACGCAAAATAAATTTTAAATCCACCGCGCAATCAAATTGCGCCGGACATGAAACTCTAGTCCAATCCTCATCGTTGGATTTGAAATATTACACGAAGGATTTTGCAGATGGTAATTTCGATTGTAATTTTATACATTTATTGAGAACTAGCTAGGAGCAGCTGCGATAAATGCAACTACAGGCCCTCTGGCAGGATTCGAACCTGCACTTGATCTTTCCATCTACAAATACTTCCACATTATTTCTATCAAGTGAAACACCTTACATTGGCATCACCTTAGTAGGGCGCTTTCCATTTAACTGCCTGACCAGTCAGACCCGAATTCTTTTCTCTGTATCAATGACAAGATCTGGTCTATGTTTCTCAAATATCTAGCGAAAATGGACCTCATTCTAATGTTACCTAAATGTTCCGGTCAGATAGGTCCGAAGCCCAAATGTTTTGTGTTTCATTCAACAATTTGACCTTTCTGACCGGTCTGACCGTGTTGATGGAAAGCGCCCGTAGTATCATGGATTGTAAAATAACTGGATAGGACTCTAGCTGACGTCACAGTCTAAACCTATAGTTGCAATCTGTGACGTCACGCGTATTGCCAAAGTTCTCAGCATTTTTTTTATCTCGCTATATTTTCCGCTTTAAAATAGTAATATTGAAGCATAAGCTGGTTTAATTGTTTTAATAACAGGCCTAAGCCACGACAAAGTATTCAAGTTAAATGTTTTTCGTCTCTGTTTTGTATTTTTTTACATTTGTAGCTACGAAATAGGCGTCGCCAATTTTAACGAAATTTGCGATTCACCTTTCACTGTTTAGTGTTAGAAATATTTGCTAAAATTGACTGGGAATACTTGAATGGAGATTTCATCGTAGAATGGCGTAGTTATATTTATTTGCTCTTTGACTAAAATGTTTTGCTGTATTATAGCTAAACATGCCGTTTTTGAGAATTTGGTTTGCAACTACGTTTCAACATCCAACCACGCCATCAGCCCATTGAAAACATTAGGTCACGTCAGCTAGTTTCCTATCATTTATTTTATTATCCATGGTAGTATAAATAAATGAAGTTGCGGTTAGAGTTGTAACACTGCACCCGAATCACACTATCGCATGAATTAGTGGCTGTGAAAGTCCAAAGCCGGATTTTGGTGGAAATAGTGAGGGAGATGGAAAAAATTTGGGGGAGGTGCAGCGCTCCAGCTCATGGCTCCCATGGAATGTTAGGGCTTTGAACGTGCCAAAGTGAACAATGTGACGTATGCAATTGTAGTGTATTCAGTGTATTAATAAATATGATTATACAACTCATCCAATTTTGCTCTTCATTACAATTACGTACTACAAAGTTTCTTTCAAAACATTGCACTAGAAGGGTACTTGACACAGAGATGAATGGCTATCACTATTTCAATTGTACAGAAAAACTTTCTTACGAAGAGTAGACCCTAAGCAACCAAAACATGTCAAATATTTATTTTGATCTATCAGTGAAACTTTCCCAAGGGGAGGTGAATGACTTTTCAGTAGAGGTGCAAAACAATCTGATGCGCACCTCCCCTCAAAATCCGGTCATGTGCGAAACGAAATTTAGTTTATTAAAATGGTATGAAAATCGTTTTATCTTAGTCAACAAAATGTTTACAGACAGATTCGAAATTTGCTTCCTCCTCTGCAGGCCATACAGCCCGAATGAGTATGCCCGTTCGCAGGTTAAAATTTGAAATCTCAATTTTCGCCTCCGTATATTTTTGAAAGGCCTGCGGAGCAGGTAGCCAAATATGTAGATCCTCATCGTGGGGAACACTCTTTTGGGGAGACAGTAGCAAAACAAGTTACATGTATCTTATTTTAATATCACGCAAGTCAAAATATCTGAAGAAAAAAAACCAATTTAACAAGGAAACAACAGAGTACAGTTTTAACAATTGTGTGACAAAATGAACATTTTTGCTTCATACTGTATGCACTCAGTAGAGAAAGTCTACTCGTTCTCCGTAGGCTTGTTGCATTAACTAAGCTCTATAGGATTTAAATAATTGTTGACATTTCTTCCAACTGACTGATTCCTAAGTACCTACAAACTTTTATGCAAATAGAAACAAAAACCCGTGGTTTCGTAGCAACGAGATGCATTGATGTAGCAAAAATCGAATCTAAAAGATGTTCATAAAATACAGAAGAACGGTATAACTCAATTTTCATTTATTACAACTAAATTTTATTTCTCGTAATTGCGTTCGACATCATTTTATTTAGCTGCTTTAATTCATTGGTGTTTATTATATGTTACTCGTAATTACCGGGAATTTTTCAGTGTAGACGATGTAGTCTATCGTTTCGGCAAAACACGGAAAATGTATATCAGATCAAATATGCAAACGTTAATGAAATTACTTATAAATACGATAATATCAGTATCCGAAAATTGGAACCGTCGTATCTAACTAGTCCATGTCCTTTTTCTTGGTATGAATTTCACTAAGACAGGTCGGTCTGGTTTCATTAACCCATCCTTTATGTCCTTGTTCACTGCAGTATCTCCTGCGTATTCCAAATGGAAACATAGTAAGAGTTTGCTTACCAAAGTATAGATCATTGACTCGGCCAATCTCCGACCTAAGCACATTCTTACTCCATAACCGAACGGTAATGAAGTAAACGGATTTAGGTCGTTTTTCTTTCCCATTTCGTCACGCAGCCACCGCTCTGGCACAAACTGCTTCGCATCTTCCCCGTAATAGCGCTGATCAACTGACAGTAAATGTTCGTGCAATAAAACATATACACCAGCAGGGATACGGTAGCCGAGAACATCGAGATCCTTATCAAATACCCGAGCAACCACAAACGCACCGGCAGGATTCATACGCCCCGACTCTTTCAGAGTTGCCCTGATGAACGATAAACGTTGAATGTTTGTTTTTGATACTTCCCCGTCAGGGCCGAGGACAGATACCATCTCCTGATATACTTTCTCCTGCACTTCTGGGTGCCGAGACAGTTCGTAAAGCAGCCAAAGACACGTCGTACTGGTCGTATCAATACCAGCTGCCATCATTCCAGTAAGATACAGTGCCATACTCTTCTGTGTAACATTTTTGTTGGCAGACAGATATTCGAAAAACGTCTCTGTCTTACTATCGCTTTGTTGTTCATGTTTTTTTGCCAACTCTTTATTGATAATGTCCATACCAGTGGCAATATTTGTAAGAAAACTTCTCCTTAACGCGTAATACGCCGGGATTTTGATGTACTTGTAAAGAGGAGCAGTGATCGAGAGTGTTCCAATATTTTTCACTACACCTTTGGCAGACTCGACATACGCGACTGCGTTCGGATTTTGAGGGTGGTCGTAGAAACCAAGGCGCTAATTGAACAACGACGCGGCCATTGCCTCAACAGTGCAGTATGGTAACTCCTCCTCAAGGTGGCGATTTTTCAGTTCGTAAAACTTTTATCGTGGCTTCCACATCCGAAATATTCACAATTTGTGTGCCAAGTATTTTCTCACTGTAAATTGGACCATATCTTTTGAAACGTTCCGTTGCGACGTCAAAGAACGAGCCCTTCGTATACGCATAATCCAAGATATTTCGAATGCTACCTTTTAGGCCTGGCATTGCTGAGAACGGAAACATATTGGTGTCGTTTTGCACCACGACAGTGGACGAACTACGTGCCAACAATGCCAGTGACCAAGACGATCTGATGAATCGTTGAAGGAAAGGAGAACGTGTGATTGAACAAGACAACAACATCATTATTAATCTGTGTGTAACGTTTTTCGACGCCGGATTTTTTTCAAGATCTATGATCAATCCAGTTTGTATGCAGTGACGTGTATTTAAATCTGAAGTGTTTATAATTAAGATTCGTCGAATTTCCGTCGAATGTGATATTGCTTCTGAATTTTATTCCTCAGAATGTCGAAGTACGTTTCTGAAAGTTATGGAACGAATCCTGTCAACTTAAAACGTCAATGTGTCTTGGATTAAAAGATTCTACGGCTGACATCTAAGCTTATATTAAGGAACGCGTTTACACTATGCCCTGCGGCAAATTTATCGTGGCGTAATGATTTGCATCCGGAGTGCCAAACGGTAGAGGTCCGTACTTAATACGCTACGAGAAGTCGTTGAAGCAAAGGAGGAGTCATTGAAGCGAAGGAGGAGTCGTTGAGGGAACAGGATAGCAACATCATTATTAATCTGTGTGAAATGTCTGTCGACGATTCAACATGAAATGGTCCAGTTTGTTCACTGTTTAAAATTGTTTGTTATGCAGTGATGTGTATTCAAATTTGGAGTGTTTATTTATGATTAAGATTCGTCTAATTTCCGTCGAATGTAATATGCTTCTGAATTTTATTCTTGACTTGCAATCGATCCCTTGAGAATTGGAAGACGGCATGGCGCCATGTTGGTGCCAAATTCAAGTTAAGGCTAGTTTCCACTCAGGAAAATTATCCGTGCATTGGAACGGACAAGAAAATTTTGCTTTGTCTTGTGAGCTCTGGGTTGGAACTAATGACTTGAACACAAAGAAAAATTTTCTTGTCCGTTCCAATCCAAGGATAATTTTCCTGAGTGGAAACTAGCCTTTAATGAGATAAGTTCTTTTGTTGAAAGGGGACCAACATGGCCGTCGCCCACATCATTGTAAGTCAAGAATTCAATGGACGAATCCCGACAAGGTGTATAGAAAACCCAAACCTTTAGAATTACCTTGACCAAAATACTGTATATTATGCTTTAACAACAATAGATTAACGGGCATGTCTTTGTTACGCATTGTCAAGTTTAACTCAAATTTCTTGCGAGTTTTCCTGTCACCATTTATAGCCAGTAACCTGTATGACATTCGTATCAGTACTGCATATCATCATTAGTAATCGTCATTGGTCGTCTACGACTACGGTGATGCATAAACAGCGACGAATTCAACATCAGGGTGTCCACCCTTTGGTGAAGGTGAAATTCAAGGACTTTTCCAGGACTTTCAAGCCCTTTTTCAGCAAATCCAAGGACCTAGGGCTGAGAACATTTTTTGAAAATGGCACGGATTTCCCGTAAATAATTCATTTTATTCAATCATTTTAATCAAAATCACTAATGTTGGCACAGCTGGAGGTTAAGGAAATTAATTTCAGAACTTTCAAGGACTTCTACTGAGTTTTCAAGCACTTTCCAGTCCTGGAATTTTTTTCCAATTCAAGTAAAGGACTTTCCAGGATTTTCAACGCCCGTGGACATCCTGAAACATGCTTAAAAATGTTTCCCTGCATTCGAATGAATTCAAATGATTCCTATGTGCGTGCCAGATATTCATATATTCTCCTGCTTTTGGCTTTGGTCATTTCAATGAGCTAAACAACTTTATACAGGGTGTCCCAAAAAACCTCAAAACTATTGAAATAATTATACGTATAGTCAGAATTTGTATGCCCTAGCACTAAGTCGAACGCAAAGATGCGTAAAATATTGACAGGGTGCATATATTATAAATGTTGACTTATCAAAATATTTGAAATATTTGCACGATTTTCTGCTCTTGGGAATTTAAAGCAACTTCTTAAACAGTTTATTTATGTATAAAATTTACTTATGTCAAGATTTTACGCACTTCAAATTCTAACAATATATTATTTCAATAGTTTTGGGGGTTTTGGCACACCGTGTATAATAACCTTAAGAATTTCTGCGATTACATTGGTCGAGAGCCATGATCTATTACAGGACAGAAGCACGGAATATGTATTAGATTTTAAAATGTCGAAAATATTTGAAACTTCCACTGAATTTATACAAGTTGAATGAATTCATGCAATTAAATCTATAAACGTCAATAAATACCTTCGATAAATGTGCAAAAATCACTGACACAAGCTAGCAACTGGGCAAATCTCTATTCATTCATATATATATATATATATATATATATATATATATATATATATATATATATATATATATATATATATATATATATATATATATATATATATATATATATATATATGCGTGCTAGTTTGGGAGAACGAGAAATAATCAGTGGGAACACATAGTGCGAGTGTTTCCATCCACGCTATTTCGAGTTCTCCCAAACTAGCACAAGTTTTTCTATAACTCTATAGGAACACAGGAAAAAATATTTTCTATTTCCTTTATTAAATAACCTTGTGATAATAACACAAAAACAATATTTTTAACGCGATTAAAAAGTATATTCTCATTACACAATAACAAGAAAATGTTGCCTAGCAACAATGCCGGCATCAATTTTCAGTTTTGCCGACGGCAAAATTATGGGAAAAAACACGCTCAAAAAGTTGATTTAAAGAAAATTTAAAGCGAAAAAACGTTTGGTAAGTGTTTTCCATTGCTGTTTAACAAAATTTCAGTTTGACGAAGATTTTTAATCGATATTTCAGGCGAAAACGTTTGTTTTAGTCTCGGTTGTTTTGAGGTTCGTGGGAAATTCCCGTGTTCTATAGCGTTATAGAAACACGGGATTTTTCGCTTTTCAACCAATCAGCGCAGGCGTTATTGAAAAGCTATTTTATAAATATATATATATATATATATATATATATATATATATATATATATATATATATATATATATATATATATATATATATATATATATAT